ACTATATTTGGAATTCCGTTTCAACATAAGTAGATTCTAGATCCACAATAATTCCATTCCGACGTACGACATATATATTAAATAATAGAGACCGTTGCACATGATTGAAGATTTCGAAAGAAAAAAACGATCTAAAATCTCAACGAGAGTTTAACGAGAGCGTAGAAGAGTTTACGTAATTATATCAGATATAAACTTTTTTCCCATGATCTTATACGTATCACAAATTTTTCTGCATAGTAAGTATTTAAGAAAATTTAGATACCTGATACGTACGTACAGTGCGTACGTACGTACAGTACGTACATACGTTATCCAAAATATCCAAAATATGATAATATAACAAGTTCAATGTCCGGTTCAAAGAGTACAAAGAGAAAATCTATGACTCACGTTATGCTATCGGATAGCTGGAATTCAATTTCCGATGGTACTATTTAGTTCTTAGCAGGCTAAAGCCAGATAGTACCATCGGAATCTAATTCCATAAGTAAAAACTAGAAGGTTCTACAAATCTCGGGTACGATATATACGTGTTCGCGCTCATAATAATAACTTTGAGTTTCTACAAACAAGAAACGTGTCAAAATATTCATAAAGAGTTAGCATAACAATAAACTTGTTTTACATTATTCAAAAGACGACTTTCCCAAAGCGAATACGTATGAATAGATAACGAACATATATATATCAGACATTCGATCGGTGACTAGGCGATCTATATCAGTTTGTTATTGTTATTAAAATACATTTTACTCAAATTTTAGATTCATGTAACCTTTATTTCAATATTAACGAATTTTGATATTCAATGTTTTAATGGAAAAGGTTTGTGCTTTTGTTGGTGGTACGTAATCAAAGTAAATAACAATTATTACCGTTAACGTTTCGGATTTATAACAAGAAATGAGGTTATGAGAATATCGATAATTAGAATTTCGCAAGCGCTAAATGTATATATATGAATATGTATGCGCATAATCTCTAACCAAGTGTCTCTGACGTCAACCGCTATGGCTACTGGATTGAACTTGCACGAATCAAAGTGAAAAAATCTTGTCTCGTGATAAATGACTAGTGCTTGCTTGGTTAAATTTCTTATGATGTACCGGTACTTAAATTCATACAAGTACATATATGTACACATGTAAATTTTGAATGTTTACTTGATTTTTTCCTAGCCTATTTTGTAATACTATTTAGAGAAATATATAAAGAGTGATTGATTTCTTTGGATATTAGTAGAAAAAATGGTTGCAATTATTTATATTACTGTAACAAACAATTATCTGATGGTCACTGTTTATGGAATTTAAAAAATTGGTTTAAATGAATTGAAATCATGCTTCCATTGAATTCGAATATGAGCTTTAATTAATTTCACATTGTGAGAGTGTTAGATATACCGTCTTTTCTTGAAATTTTTTTTTAATATTTTGTTTTTTTTTTTTTTTTTGTCATTCCTTTTTTTATACAATTAAAAAAAAACAAAAAAAAACTATCTTCTTGTAAATTATAAAGACAATCTAACAGAGTCTAAACAATTGATATACCTTATCCTTTTTTTACCTTTTTTTTTTATGAAGCGAATGATACTTTAGAAATCCTTTTATCCTCTTAAGTCACTAAAATGGCCTTTAATCAAATCAAATTCTTATTATTTATATTTCTTTACATAATCACAAAGATAAGTACTACTCTCGGTCAAGCAACTCCTACTGCCGTTCAACCAAGCCCTAGTGCTATCGCTCCTAACCCAATTGCTACCGCTCCTAGCCCAATTGCCACTGCTCCTAGCCCAATTGCTACAGGTGACATTACCACATGCTCTACTTGTGATAAAGTAAAAGCTGCTTGTGGTTCAAAGTTTAGTCTTCCTCAAGTATACTCTCAAGGCACTTATATCGCTACAGGTAAGATATACTATGTTTTTTTCTTTTATTTAATCCCCCTTTTTGTATTTTTTTGTATTTTTTTGTATTTTTTGTATTTTTAATTAATTCATATACATAAATTTTTTGTTAGATAAATGTTATTGTAATGATGATGTGTATAATAATTTGTCTCAATGTTTGATCTGCTGTAATAGCGCAAATGTGGGAAATAGTACTATGGAGAGTCTTGACCATTGGAAAGCAAGTTGCATTTCCCTAGGTTATCCATTCAACCAAAATAATGCGACCCAATCTCCTTCAAACACAACCGTTGACCCATCAACAAATAATAATAATGCTAATAACACTAATTCATCTAATTCATCTGATTCTGATGATACAAAACGTATGATAGGCATTTCTGGATGTTCCATTGTTTTGCTCTTGCTTTTCTTAGGCATTGTCATTATCGTCAGAAGACATCGCAAATCGAGAAAAATCGGTGACTTCCCTAATATATCAAAACCCACAAAAACAAAATCTTTAGATATACTTGACAATTACAATCGTAAAACAAGATATTCTAATCGTAGTAATCGTAGTGTTGATCAATTCAAAGAAAATGATGTAAACCAAAATGAT